ATTTTATTGGCCTTGATCGTCGCATGACCAATGAAATGACAGCATTTGAATGACGTTATCATGGCGTCATGGCTGCCTTGGTGATCTTGAAATAGTCCCCCAGAAAAAGTCTGCTCATCTTCGCGGGCGTGAACCTAAAAAACTAGAAGCGCTTATATCTTAAGAAGGGCAGGGCTGTGGACTGCGCCGAATGATCTTCAAGATGGTTATTTCAGTTAAAACCCCATACCAAGGTTGAGCACTTCCTTTAAACACAGCATGGCCATAGGGAACGCAGAATTCGCAGGACATCTCTGTGTCATCAAACATCTCGGGGCGAACTTGTGCAGACTGATTCGCGCCGTCATTTTTAAACGGGCGGCGCGGATTGGTCTGCACAACTTCGCGAGCGCATTGTTAAAACACAAGAGAATTTGAATTCTCACAAAGGGCATAACTTTGCAGTGCAGAAAATGATCTTAAAAGACTGCCTCAGTGGAAATATTCATACAAATGTGGAACAGGGCCTTCACATAACGGTGCACGAGGTACCCAGGCTTGTCATTACTAGTTACATGTTTATTCTGTACCACAGGCTATCATGTAGCTGCCTAATGTTCTTATCGCGCCACCTCCCTCATATGGTAGGCCAGACTTGCAAACGTTTGGCAAGTTAAGCACATGATGACATCTGGATTGGGATAAAGAGGATTGACTGCGGTATGTGCCAGCATTTTAAAGCGCGTTGTGGCCCAGATGAAAGCTAACCCGTTTTCTTCTTACGTAAGTTGTTCAGCGCATTAGCGTGGAACGTTATTGACATAGATTAGACGGCAGTAATAGCCTTATTTTTCGGGGAAAAACAAGAAAGTGGAGATATAGTTGAGTTCATATTTCGGCCGCATGCCTTTATCGAAACATGCCACTTGGGCTTCACAGCGTGCCTTTTTCGACAACATGCCACTTTTACTATTGTTTCGACAAAGGCATGTTGCCGAAATATCAACGCAACTATATCTGCATTTTCCTTTTTCCGAAGAATAAGGCTATTACTACTGTCTCACCTGCGTTGTTTTCTTCGCAGAGGCAAGTGTATTTGTCCTAAAATCGTAACTGTGGTGGTATTCAACTGCCAACTGAATGGCAAAGCACAATCAGTGACAGCGGTATTCATCATTGATTCCAAATCCGTCAAATCATGACAAGAAGAGGTGCTCCAGGTGGACCTACTGGCGGTGCAGGATGCGCAACAACTGAAGCCGTTACAGATCTGGATTGTCCGCTCAGTTGTCAATAAATCTTAGCAACCTATTCACCCATGGTATCATTATCCTACTTTGAAGTCCTCTAAATCTATCTATATGAACTCAAAGTATGTGATAGATGCAAAGCATGCGAGACAATGGTCACTTATGGCACCTTTGACATGGGAACTCACGTCAGTCAAGCAATGTCTTCGTTAGCAGGAAGAAATCTTTCACAGCTCGTCGCTGAGCGTACCTCGACTTGACATTAGACGTGTCCCACACAAACTGCGCCTGGAGCCATCCGTGGGTAATGAAGTCTGTCAGACCGCGCTGGCATACCGGATGCTATCACATGATAACACATCAAGCGCAAGGCATGCCATGACGACATACTATCAAACTGGCATGAAAAGGCACCAATGTTCTGCGCTCTGGCTAAAGCGGAATACGACCAAACTGTGTTCAGCTCAGTATGGCCTCAGCATGACCGGGTGGAGACTCGGTTATGTAATGTTCAGAGTTTCCACAACGCATTTCAACATCACACTCACCTCTGACTGCAATGCCACTTTTCGCCAGACTCGTGGCGACCTGTTCATGAGCTTCAGGCTCCGTCACCATGTACCATCGAGTTACGATGTCAACGCGGCAGCTGTCATCGAGCGATAAGCCGGGATTTGTGGTGAGTTGGCTCGAAGAACGGTATTCCTGCCATTGCACCAGACTAGATCGGAAAGATGCCGCCTGACACTGCTGAGAGTCATTCATGCAGATTATCGGACACATTTGTGAAACTTCGAATGAGCATGGTAGTTTACTTCTCATGATCCAAACAATCCAGTTCATGTGGCAAAGAGCAGGACTAAGACGTTGGGCCTTTAGATAGTGTATTTGCTGGTTGTCATAACTTGATTCGGAATAGGCTATAAATAGAGGCATCCCAAGCAGCCAATAGTGTGTGTGGAGGAAATGAGCGATACAGAGACCCCTAGACTATCAAAAATGCCAGGCTAACTTCTCGGCACGTATTACATCGCGAAACGGCTCAATGGCGCTGTCTGGGCAGTTCTCTGGGAGGTTTGATGATTGTGTAGGACTTTTGCCAAGTCCTACACAAAAAGCTTCACAAAAAGAGATCGGGCCCTGAACCCCGTTCAGTATATTTTTGCAATACACTGTCATAATCCCAATGGAGATCTCCCTACTTCGGAGAGGGGAGGGGCTCGGAAATTCTTCGACGGGTTTTTTCGAGCAACTCCTGAACGGCTGTGAGCGTGGTGCTTATATTTTGAGCAGCAAATGAAAAAGAAAAGTTTACGTTATTTCTACACGTATGAAAATTTGATGCTTCAAACTTTCATGTCTCATCATGTATGTTCTTTATCTCGAGGACACCTTGGTGACATTTTGCACACAAATAACACGTAGTGCTTATATCTCGCGGGAAATGTACTCCCAGGAGGTTTTTTGGCTGTTTTACTCAGTTGCATTACCGTTAATTGCATTACGATCACCCCGGCTGTTTTTTCAAGGTTAGGTCAGCAAAGGTCAAGTTAGGTCATATTTTGACCTTTGTGACCACATTTGACGTTTTAAAGGTGATACAATTTTAACAGCAATGATAGCAGCTTGCAGCTTTGGAAGGCCTCTCTAACGCTGTTAGCTCCATTTGCGTGGCTGCTTAGCTCGTGATGTAATCGCAAGGGCTTCCATCTCACCTGACATGACATATTGTAGATTAGGTAAGTCTGTGTTCACCCGTGCTCATGTGATAGAGTTTTCTAAGAGCTATTCAACACCGTCGTTTGCGTTGTCGCAGCACGCTTACTTACGGGATAATACGATAGATCTATCAAGTGTTGATTTAGCCTATGACTTACTTTGACCTGCCAAACGTAACATTCGCCGCTGATCACTGACACCTAACTGATGCATTCTAAAAGGAGCTTTCCAATGCTGTTGCCGCGTGGCTCTATCCCGTTTAGTTTCCGAAACATTAAAGAAGCTGTTGAGTTCCCTCCCCCTGCCCTCACCCCCTCTATAGTAAGGCGGAGGGGAAAACAGCCGTAGGGCGACTGCTAAGCAGCCACGAAAAGCTGGCAACCCTCGTGGGCCACGCAAACTGTCACACTAATAGCTGGTAATCCATCGTGAGCCACTTGTGCCCACGCTTCTCCTACCATACACATCACAGCCATGGGTGCTAAAAAATCCTTGACAGTGAAGTGCAAGCGCCATAAGCTGGATTCGGCACCGCGTGCATGGCTTGGAGCATTGCCACTGGACTGAGGATTCTGAGTCGAAGGATTCGAGTAGATTCGAATCCTACAATACCTGAAAGTCTGAAAATGAGAATATGAATCCCAGAAATTTGGATCCCAATGCTGTTGATGTTGTTGATGTTGATGTTGATGTTGTTGAAGTTGATGTCGAATCCTGCATGGCGTTATTTGAGAATGTGATTAAATGCGATGGAATGCGCTGTAGGCTCCACCTTCCTTCAAATAAACTCGATACAGCACGCACATGTCTGTGTTGCACCAGTGTCGCCTGTCCTACGCGCTCTATAACACTGCATTAGTTACCGCTGGACCCTACTGCTGTGGGTTCCGGACTAACTCAACTGTTGTGGTCACTGCTGTGGTCAACCAACGTGTAGTTGATTAAAGAAGGGAGCTTAAGTAAAACAGCATTTAAACCGGGAGAGCGCGGACCAAAGTTCAAGGGCCTACATGCCACAAGCAGGCCTCATCAATCTCAGATAAGTTTCCTCGAACAAAGCGGCCTGTCACGCGTAGATATGTGTACCAACACGAATACTCAGTACCATTTTCAATCGGGAGGATATGGCTCAGCAGGGTGTAAATATAAAATGTGAGAGCAGTTCGCCAGAAATAAAAAACAAATTGGTTTAGAAGTGGGACGTAAAATGCGGCTGATTTTCTAGATGTCGATACAAATTAAAACTAATTTGGGTCTCGAATCCAAGCTCAGGTCAGAATAAAGCCATTACATGGTTGCAATTCCGAATTGCAATGAGCACTCATCTCTAATTGTTCATCACGTCCAGCCAGCGTTCAAAATTTGGTTTGTGGAAGATGAGCGTCGTTAACAAGGTGCTGTCGACCATTCCGACTACCTACTGAATACTTAAATTATCTGTCATTTCTTCGAAGTGTCCTCCATATGCATCATGTGTAACACCCTACATCATACCGCTATGGCATCAATGTCAGGGAACACTCGCCTCACCATCAGGTGAGGCGAGTGTTCCCTGCCACTTCATGTCAAGATGCTCTGCCGGCGAACCCAGAAAAGCCCTGTGCTCAACCTGTTAGGCACGATGCCCTTTCCGTTCCCCGCCCACGTCATCCGTGACGTCATCACGGGCAGCCTGGCCTACAGACAATGACCCTCTTTCTCCTCCTCTTCCCCTTCCCCTTCGCCTCCTCCTCTTCGCCCTCTTTCTTCTCCCTTCCTCTTCCTCCACATCCACCTTGTCGTCCTCCTCCTTCTCCTCCTACTCTTCCTCCTCCTTCTCCTCCTTTACCTTCTGTTAAGCTGGTTAAGTCGTAGCCTCCTACAGACGAGATGACGTAACGTCGTGGACACACGCTGGGCCAGGTTAAGTGTGGCCGCTAGTCATCCTCGTGGGGCGACGATGTCAGCTATCGCTGCTCGAATCGGCGCAGTACGGCCGCCCGGGGCCGGTGACGCCATTAGCGGCTGGTATAAGACACGCGGCCGGCGGGTCGCCCCGGCAGTGCAGTTTGCGGTCGGACAGACAGCGCTGAACACGATGCGCGGCCTGCTCCTGTTGACCACCGCCTCGCTGGCGCTCTCGCTGCCCGTGGGAGATATCGAGACCATCTTCAAGGCCAAGCTTGATACGAAAGGTAACTTGACGAGATGCCCTGCATTACGCAAGGTGGAGGGTTCGGGGTATGAACAGAACAGAACACGTCTGTGCCGCCGTTTGAGTCTGTTTGAGCCCTCCCATTCGTTACCAGATAATTGCAAAGAACAGCAGCTAGCTCATTCGCTGACTGAAGTACGTTCGTTAGAGGCGTTGCAGCATTCTATATATATATATATATATATATATATATATATATATATACATATATATATATATATATATATATATATATATATATATAAGACTGCTGCATGCATATTATGTGTTATCATTGACATGCCTCTGAAATCTGTCAAATTCATTTGTCACACCTTTGTTAAATGCTGTAGCTGCAAAATAACGTGTGCTATCGTGTGTGCTTGATGGCCATTTCATGAAGAATGCAGCAATGGCCATTTGCGCGGGGTTGTCTTCATTATGCACGTACAGTGTCAGTCAGCATCACCCTAGAAAAATTAGCGTGGTGTTGTCAGTTGTAATTTCAGTACTGTTTGTCATGGGGAGTGCCTTAGTAATGGAGACTTGTACCTGCTAAACTGGAGACTGTATGCTCTTGAACCAGTGTGAGGCAACTGAGTTGCAAGAGTAACATTATTGTTTTAATCGAGCGGATGAATGGCGCGGACTAGCGAAACACTACGTGAGTTGAAAGTATGCTATGCAATGGCTGCTTTTGATGCTTCCAGATATCTGCTTCGAAACGGGACCGGTGAAGGGTGATCCCTGCCACTTCTGCAAGTGCTTCACGCCAGACGAGTGCATTGTGAGTTGCATATCTAAGCAGATGATTCACGGAACTATCTTCGTGTCGTTGGAATCTTGCAGATATTCGACGTGCATATGCTGGTTCCTTTGTCACAACTGGCATTAAAGTTCTGTCTGGCCCATGTCAGTTTTTGCGTGGCTTGTTAACACTCTTAGCCTCCCCGATCCCTCCTTGTTTTCCTATATAGGATACCGTGGTCCGTCGCGGTTTGCCGTCGCAAACGTACCTTGCTTGCATACAATGTTGCTTAGCTCCTTGGGCGGCTCGAAGGGTTATTGTGGGCAGAGGCGTATCCATAGTCGGATCTTGGGAGGAGCCAAACCTCGAGTCCCGACCCAACAGAATGTAAGCTATGTCGTTGTTACTTATCTTGGGCGAACATGGCCCTCCCCCTCCCCCCCCCTCCCCCGGGATCCACCAGCGGTTGTGAGTGACCTGTCATAGAAGCTGCGCCTAACTGGTCGACTGGAACGGTCTTTAAGACCTCCGTCCGTCCCAATAGCTCAGTTGGTCAGGTAACCTGCCTTCCGACCGGTGAGCTCGAATCGCTTTAAGTGCGCGCTATTTGCCCTTGACTGGTATGGTGTACGGCTGGTGGCAGCGGCCACCCTGAAGGTGAGGTGACGTCAGAGGGTAAGATTGGCCGTGCCGAGCATTGCGGCACTTTAAACTTTCACCACTATATTCTGTCGTTGACTGGGCACAACATTGGCGGGATGAGCCGTGGATTGCTGGCAGCGTGCTGTGAATGGTTAGCCGGCAGAGCAGTCAAATGGTATACCACTCTCGGAAAGCTCTACTTCTCCTCAACCAGAGATGAGTCGTCTTTCAGAAGCATAGGGGCATGCAAATTTAAGGTCATTGCCGTCTACACACCATTAGTAGGCTGCATGTTAGCATCCATTGCACCGAAATTCCACACACGTCGCGACAACATTTCACGTCCCAAGGTCAGCGTCCAAGATACCAACAATACATCGGAAGCTCATGGAAGGAAAGGTCGGTATGAAGTCATCAGAAAAACAGTAGGCATGGTGCATTACGCAAATATTAGGTAAGAGATGGGCCGACATGGACCGCCTAGAGGCGTCGTTGCAGGATATTCCATCAGTTCGCTCACGAATAGCGTGCGATGGCAATGATGCAAAGCTAGAATAGCTTGTCTTCAAGGAAAGTGTCGCTGCCCTTCCGCCTTTTCCATTGTTGTGTTTCTGGCTATCGGAGTTCTCGCAAGCAATATTGTGAGAGATGGGACACCGGCCCATCTGCGTCACCTCCCTTGGCAGTCGGCGGCGCTGCAAAAGCACGTCTCGACGGGCCATGACACGCTGCTGGAAGTCCGCGGCGGCGGTGGCCTGCCGCCCGGGCCAGCCCGGCCGCCAGCCCTTGCAGCGGCCGTCTGTCCACGGCGGCTATATACGGAGCGGTGTCGCGCCCCGCTTGCGTGTTCACTTTTGTGTCGCCGGCCGCCCGGTATGGCGACGGGCTGGCGGCCACACTCGGACGACATCGCCGGCCTCCACGCCGGCGAAGGACGCCACTTTCCGTGGCGCCGCACTTTCCGGGGGCGAGCCGCGGAGCCGCGCGTTGCAGCAGTGGCCCGTCCACTGTCGGCAATCCCGCGCCGCGGCCGTCGGTGTGGGCGCGTGGGCCTCACGGAACCGCCATCCGTGCACAATATATCCCGGAAGTTAGTATTCTTGGTCCGCCTTCCTTTCGTTGAATTCGCTACGGAAAAGTCTCAGTGCGTTGTTGTCGGTTGTCACTTTATGTATGAGATGTTAAAAGGCCGATCTGTTGTTGAATCAGTTACACACTTCCTTGCAAGCTTTTGTGAGGCCAACATTACAAACGGTGGTATAACGCACCAGAAAGTGGATTTCGGTAGAGATTTGCACCGTCACGGGATTTTCACAAACAGATGACGTCAAATAATTCTGAATGGCAGCCTGCGACGTCTTCCTGTAATTAGTTATGTTGCCCCAGCTGCACACTGAAAGCCGGCTGTTGTGTTTCGGGCCTTCTGGTTGGCATTTTGTCTGCGTTGGTTGGGTGTTTACTCTTTGTTTTCTCCCAAAGGTTTGTCCTTTAATTGTACGTCTATGTGCTGCTAGTCTCATTCCGTGTTGGCATTGATTTCCGGGAAATTCTTCGCGACAAACGATTTCGCCAAAGCTGTCCATACACTTGCGTTTTTCGCGCCTGCGATGTCCCGGCAGGTTCATGCATGGTATCAGTGCAAGTTCTCGTTGTAAAAAGCTGAACAGCCATGTTTAGGGTGTTTTCTAATCCTGCAGTGCGCAGGTGAAAGCAGTCACTAACCTTCATGAGCAATTGCATTGTTGTACGCCCTAATGCGAGTGTGGCAGGGCCATAAGCATCCTTTCCCGAGAACTCCTACGAATATTTCCTAACTGTTCGTCTCCATGAGACCGCTTCTCTCATCCCTACGGGTATTGCAACCGCTGCGATTGCCAGCATGCTCATGGCACGGGGGCTGATCATTGGGTAACCCCACCACTCGTAGCTGACAGGTTGGGTCACCGAGCTCACGGGTGGCTTAGGCGTTGCTCAACGGTGTGAGGCGATAAGTCCAGTGGCGGGAGTCGGCCACCAAGATGACTGCCGGCGCGTTCCGAACTTGCGTTGGAGGATGGCGTGGGCAGTCGAGCATGCACACCTTTGCTTGAGTGGGCACTCAGTGTCCTTGGCGCCGTCCCAATCTGCTGACATCGTATTGATCACCCGCATCTGCCCGTGTAATCACAGATACCTGTGCCTGTGCCCGTACTTTTAAGCCAGAGGCGTAGTTTCACAAAATTAGTTTTAGGGGGAGCTGAGCAGTTAATTGTGCTTCTCAGACCTAGGATAGTTTTCTCCTAGAGTAGGAGGATGGATCTTTTGTTGGCGTTGCTGGAGCCCCCGACCTCAACTGAAAAGGAGCCTATACCCCGGCTTTTGGCGTACAGCCTGCTGCTACACCGGGACGGGTGTGTCCACTGTTGGCGCGCCCCCTGTCGTTCATTCGAAATTGACACTGCTGTCAATCCAGGCGGTGTCTGCTGGGCATGTTCCCTGCTTACACGCTTCCGGTTGTTGGTTTCCCTCTGACCCGACCGTCGACCTTGGCGGTGCCTGCCGGGCAAATTCTCTATTGACACGCCCCTGTTGTCTATTCCCTGCCGACAGGCCTTCTGCCGTCGCAGCTGACGTCCACCGAGAGCATTTCCTGCTGACAAGCTACCTGTCGTTACCGCTGGTATCTACTCAGCGTGTTCCCTGAGGCGTTCCCTGCTGACATGCCCCCTGTCGTTACCGCTGGTATCTACTCAGTGTGTCCCCTGAGGCGATCCCTGCTGACATGTCCTCAGTCGTTGCAGCTGGTATCTACTCAGCGTGTTCCCTGAGGCGTTCCCTGCTGACATGTCCCCTGTCGTTGCAGCCGGTGTCTGCCGAATGCGACTGGGACCGGCGCGAGAGTGAGCACCGCACCCGGGGCTGCAAACCCGTCTACACTGATGGCGTGTGCTGCCCCAGCGTCGTGTGTCCGCTGAATAGCGTCGATCCAGCGGCAGTGCAGACCCCGGCAGTCGAGTCACAGCCGGCGGAGCAGGCCCCGGCAGCCGAGTCACAGCCGGTGGAGCAGGTCCCGGCAGTCGAGTCACAGCCGGCGGAGCAGGCCCCGGCAGCCGAGTCACAGCCGGTGGAGCAGGCCCCGGCAGCCGAGTCACAGCCGGCGGAGCAGGCCCCGGCAGCCGAGTCACAGCTGGTGGAGCAGGTCCCGGCAGTCGAGTCACAGCTGGCGGAGCAGGCCCCAGCAGTTGAGTCACAGCTGGTGGAGCAGGCCCCAGCAGCCGGGTCACAGTCAACGGAGCAGGCCCCGGAAGCCGAGTCGCAGCCGCCGGCGGAGAAGGCCCCAGAAGTCGAGTCACAGCCGGCTGAGCAGCCCCCGGCAGCCGAGTCACAGCCGTTGGAGCAGGCCCCGGCAGCCGAGTCACAGCCGGCTGAGCAGCCCCCGGCAGTCGAGTCACAGACGGCAGAGCAGGCCCCAGCAGCCGAATCACAGCCGGAGGAGCAGGACCTGGTAGCCGAGCTACAGTCGCCGGCAGAGCAGGCCCAGGCAGCCGAGGGGTCACAGCTGGCGGAGCAGGCCCCGGCAGTCGAGCCACAGCAGGCGGAGCAGTCCCGGGTGGTCGAGCTCCAGCCGGTGGAGGAGGCCCCGGCAGTCGAGTCACAGCCGGCGGCGGAGCAAGCCCTGGTAGTCGAGCTGCAACCAGTGGAGCGGGCTCCAGCAGCCGAGTCACAGCCGGTGGAGCAGACCACGGCAGCCGAGCCACAGCCGACGACTGCCGGTATCGACACCCTGGAGCCCACCGACTCGGTTATCCCGGTGGCGGAGGAGCTCGAGGAAGTGATCACAGAGCCCAGCCTGGTCCAGAAGGTCATCTCGGACCCCACGATCTCAGCCGAGAAGAAGGCTCAGAAGCTCACCGCTTCAGCAGATGAGACCACCCGGGAGGTCACCAGCTCACCCGAGGAAGCAGCCCAGACTGCCGGCAGCCCAGTCCAGGGGACAGTTCAGGATGTCATTGCAGATATTCCCGGTCCAGTCCGGAGGGAGATTTCGGAAATTGCTGCTTCAGCTCAGGAGGTGATCCAAGAGGTACTATCTGAGCTCAAATCGACCCAAAACACCGAGGACACACCGGCCACGAAAATTCTCTCGAACAACGACGTGCAAACTCCGCATATGACCCCAGAAGTGATCTCGGAAATAAGCCAAGCTGAAGAGGATGCAGCGGATGCTGCAGTGGTCCAAGAGGTGGCGGCTGAGATTGAAGCATCAGCTCAAGACGTGATTCAGGAGGTTATTATGGAGATGGCTACTGCCCAAGAGCAGATTCCGAACGGTATCCCTTCTAAGGCGGCGTCGAATGGCATTTCAGTTCAGGAGATGATTTCGGAGACCGTTCCAGTCCTGGAGATGATTTCAGCGAATGCTCTTGCTCCGGAGGTAATATTAGAGACTGCTCCCACTCAAGAGTTGGGCCTGGAGAACTCTTCTCTTAAGGAATTGACACCAGAGAATGCCCCTGCTCTGGAATTGACTCCAGAGAGCGCTTCCATTCCGAAATTGACCCCTAAGGACACTTCTGATCAGGAAGTAGCCTCAGAAAGCGCTCCGGCTCATGAAGCAATCTCTGAGACCAGCCCTGAAGAGGAAGAAATCTCAGAAACCATTCCTGCCCAGAAAGCGATCTCAGAGACCACTTCTGATCAAGAAGTAATTTCAGATGCTCGGGAAGATATCCCAGAGACCACCTCTAATCAGGATCTGATCTCTGAGGTCGGCCAAATGCTAGATGCGATCCTAGGAAATGAGGTGTTGCCATCCTCTGGCACGGTTCTACTGAACGAGGAGATCAAGGCTGCCCCGGCGCCGGAGGCAGCCGGTGACGAGCTACCGCTCACCACGCAGGAGGCCGAGAGCCCCGCCTTCGAGCCGGAGGCGCCCGACTTTGACCTGCTGCCGGAGGAAGGATCCGGCCTGTCGGAGGGCGCCGACCTGTTGGAGGGTTCCGGCCTGCTGGAGGCCGACAGTGAGCTCCCCTGAAGGGAGCGGCCAACCCCGCAGGGACTGCCCTAGCGGCCACAGAACACTGAAGGTCATGCAGGTGTGCGAGGGTGTGGATCTGCCAAGGCAGGGTGATGCCTGCGAGTGTCAAGAACGAGCCCCACATTAAACGCTGAGTAAGGCCTATTCTACCGGGAGCATGGGCCTTGTGATAATTGCGTCGGATGCGTTTCAGTGAGCATGCGCTGATAATGTCTTATGTGTACGTCTTATGCGTTTTGTCTATGATGCGTATATGTGTCACCAACACAAAAGTCTTCTCAGATACGTGGTCTTCGAGCGATGCGTCGTCACTTGAGTCTGGTTTGTTTGTTTTTGTTTTGGTTGGGTTTAGTCGAGTTTGACAGAAACAATCTCAGATGCAAATACAACAAAAAGATGAGCGGTTTTGAACCCGAGTTGTGCGTATGCTGACTCAGCTCCGATGATGACGGGCTGATTTCCATGACGCCTCCATCATTCCACCCAACACATACGCGATAACTCTCAAGCAGTGAAATGAGGTGATCTTGAGTCAGGTTAACGGTCATGAAAATAACAATCGAATATAGTCGGCAGTGCTAGCAGAAATCTCTGCACCGTGCGCCCATTTCGCAGGTCGCCACGGACCTTTGTCGTTCGTAATGCCCCATACGATAAAACAAAACTTCAAATATAATGACTTTGGAAAAGATTAGCCGCTCGGAACCTTTGAGACATTTTTTTCGATAAGCTTAGCCCGGCATTAACGGGGGTCAAATCTGCTCCCCGTCTGATAATCGCAATAATTCAAAAACGCCTTGAGTTACAGCTGCAAAATTTTCAGTAGATGTCACTTGATGCATGTTGCGCCTTGGGCTGAAGAAAAAATATTATATTTCAATAGATCAAGCGTGAGTAATGTCAGAGAGACGTGCTGTTTGCCGATTTTTTGTCAAAAGCACATAGCCGTAGACAAATTGACACAGAAGCCAAAAAAGGACATATTTGACATCTGTTAGAGGGGAATGTGAGCTAATTAGTCTACCATGCATACAATCTGTCTTTGTGTAGCCTCCGTATGGCACATTTAAATATTTGCATGTCAAATGGCCAAAACATTAATGAAAAGGGTACAAATGACTTTTTGGTTTCATACTTTATAATCATGAAAGTTTTAGATAAGATGTCCTAGATACGACTATGAGGGATGCCTGTAACAAGGTTCAAGTAATTATCTGTAATAATGACTGAGTTATGGCTTGAAACGCATCGGGTTTGCATCTTGAAACGCAAAAACAGGTGGCCCAGAGCCCGCGACGGCGGGCGGCTGGGCCCAGGTCTGCCGCAGTGGCGCGGTGACGGCGCAGCGGAAGCCGTTTATCAGTTTCACACGCAAACTGACGATCGCGCGACTGGCAGCGTGGTTGAAGAGTATCAGACTGCGCTGTCGGCAGGACTGCACCGTCGGAGGCAACGCGACAGTCGATCCAACCGCTATTCACCACCGGGTCATCCATATCACCCTGGCCTTAGGCGGCTTATGAGCAAGTATCAGCTCTTGTTCGTGTGTTTAATCCGATAATTGCGGCTAAACTCTTCCACTTCACGTCCAGATGGCTCGTATCTGACGGAAACAAAAAGACCACAAAACAGACCTACACACCAAGGTTTCGGTTCTCATTTGCACGGATTTGGCTTTAGGCCTGACCTTGATTCTAGCCCTGGTACGGCGCGCGTAACATTGGATACCCTCCTACGTTGTATGTTTGATCAGGGCGCAATGATTTCATACCATGGGATGCACTTCTCAATCAAATGTATTTAGGGAAATGTCAGATGTTCTAAATGAACATCCTTATAATTTTACCTTGACCTGTGACCTTAATGTGACGCGCTTAAACATAAGTTTGTTGTGTGATTTGAGGCCGCACGCCTCGGCGATATCGATTGCGATTTTAATTTTTTTACTCGGCTCGGCTGTTCCTGACATAAGCGAGGGTCAAATCTGCCCCCTCCGGTCAATGGTGTGCCTCCGAGGAGCGCGATCAATGCCGGGTTAAGAGCAATGTCCATATTTTAAATCTTTGGACCAAGCATAAGATATGATGAGATAAACACACTTATAACTGCTGGTATGCTTTCAAGTGACAAAAGACTGCTCTGGACAATACAATGTCTCTGTTTAGTAAATATGCTCCTCAATATGTCAATGTTTGATTGCGTTATCGTACCATGCACAATATTAATTGAGAGCTAACTGACGGCCGTTATATTTTGAAAACGTGGCTACGAACGGCCGATAGGAATGACTCAACGGTTGTACTTTTCTTAGCATTGATTGCCACATGGCTAATAGAATGATGGGATTTTAACGACGTTATTATAGCGTCATGGATGCCAGGGTGACCTTGAGATTGCCTCCCCGAAAAATGATACACGTCTTCGCAGGCGTGTAGCTAAAAGCTAGAAAGTTTTGGCTCTTAAAAATGGTAGAATTGTTAACTGCTCGAATGATCTTTACATGGCTATTTCAGTTTGAAACCCCATACAAATGCGGAACACTCTCTCTAAAGCGATTATTCTACTATTATTCTACTACTATATTCGTTTGTATGGAAAACCCATTGATATGGGGCTTTGAACTGTAATAGCCATCTTCAAGACCTTTCGGTGTTGTTCACAATCTTGTCCTCCTTAAGGACTAACCCTCTCTAGTTTCTGAGCCACATGCCCGCAAAAATGGGGTAACGTATATCGGGGAGGGCATTTCAAAGTCACCTTGACATTCATGACGTTATAATAACGTCATTCAAGTCTTATGTTGTGCCGGGTACGATGACATGATCAAACCATGGCACGATGAAAAGCACATTTACTAACAGAGAATTGGGCTGTCTAGAGCAGTTTTTCGGCTTTTAAGGTATACCAATAGTTACAAATGGGCTGGTTTAGCGTGTTTGATGCTTACTTCAATACGTTCAAATTTGAAACATTCCCTTTAAGATCTGAACAGAACGGAACAGAATTTTGGGCATGTGCACGGGCGATTGACACCAGTACTTCATCATCTGGATCATCTTATCCGTCATTACCGGCAGAGGTTACCTGCAGCATCAACAAAGTTCGGAAAGAAAAGCTTCCCTCGACATGAAAATCGCGAAAATGTACCGACTTAGCGCAGCCACTGTATCTGGCATGCACGAACCGTGGACCATCGGTATCGTTACAAATGACTCATGTATTACCTTTATCACCATACCAGTAGTGCGAATCAGGACAGATACTCGCCATCCCCACAGACGGAGACAGATGTCTTTCAGTATGCCATCATTTTCAGTGACTTGAATTGGTGCGCCACATATTTTCATATTTTCTTGCCCCTTTCAAGCACGGTAGTGCACATTTTCTTCTTTCTTCTTGAGTATGATGGTGAAGCTTCAATCAGTGCGCGGCGCAAAAAAATAGCAGAATGTAATGAAATTATCTGGGTGGAACTCGCCACACGGTGCTCATTTTTGTGTTCAGGTCTGCTACCATTTAAAGCTTGTGCTCTAAAAAAAGGGTAGGGGGGGGGGGTCACGGCATGGGACTGGGGCGTGTCAGGAAAAAGACCACTGATTGCAACTGAAGCTAAAAAGGCCGCCCAGGGTTGGTTTAAATGCCGAATTAGGTAAGACGCTCACCGGGAGAAGTATGCCATGTTACGTAATTGGGTGACTTCAACACACGAGCAGTCCAGCTCACCAAAGTTTATCACCCGGACAGTTAGCACAATGACATGATGTCCAGGCTAGGTTTTTGTCCAGGTTTTGTAGAGACAGGATGGATGTCCAGGTTTTTGTAGAGACAGAAAATTGAAATTCAGTGTAACTTAAGGCCCCTGAAAATGGCGGAGGGAATCTAAATAGCTTTGTGTTATCGGGGAGGGATCTGTTTTGCACATTGGGGAGCAGCAAACAAAATCCATTGTTTAATCCTTTGATATTGATGTAAAATGTGCTGCCATTGGTCGCATGATTTTGTTTTTGGTGATTTCAGGGCTTAAAATGTGTCACATGAGGATCATTATGATTTTGGTTCGGTTGCACGAGAGTACCCCATCCCCGTTTACCAGAGGAGGAGCCCCCCCCCCCCCTTTTAACCTTAAAACTGTTAACATTAGAACCAAGCAGAAAGCGGCATCAGAAAGCTCGCTTAGGCCTGCGGCGCATGGTGGTACAAAAAGACAAAAGTCAGATTGTGTTTCGACAGTCATTCCACGAATAAATTAAGGAAACTTCGGATGGAAATCTTGGAATTGTTAACCAAAGAGATTATTTGAGAGAGACGTCTACCTTCCAAAACTTAGGCCTGTGCTGGTGTAGACTATGCAGCCAGATGTAAAATATGCATAGCAATATGCGAAAGGTGCATAGCGCGCACAGGGAAGTGTCTTTTCCGACACAGACAACGTTTGTAAGAGCCTAAATTGTCACCTGGAGCCAAACATCACAAGCCTTTTGCAGTAGAGCTGTAATTGCGATAAACCACATAAAAAGATAAATCGCGGAATAAGAATAAACATCATCACTCTTCCGTTTCGAAGGGTTTATTTGCACTTCATTATCATTTGCTGGCCACGCCAAAAAAAACCCTTGGTTAGAGCGTAGGTTTAAGTAAATGAGCGGCCGGCGCACTGGGCTTAAGGCTGGTGAGCGCATCGATCCGGCTCAAAACTAAGACGTCGCATGCATGGAGAAAGAGAAAGGGAACACGTTTGATCAGTGGCCGTATCACAACCATACATGACACTAACCAACCTCATGCACTATCTCACTATCTCACTTGCGACGTCAGTTCGGCCCGGTATGGGCTCCTCGGGGTGTATGGCCCAGAGGGGTACAAGCCGGGTATGGGCTCCTCGGGGTGTATGGCCCAGAGGGGCACAAGCCGGGTATGGGCTCCTCGGGGTGTATGGCCCAGAGGGGTACAAGCCGGGTATGGGCTCCTCGGGGTGTATGGCCCAGAGGGGTACAAGC